TCTGAGCAACCTGGTCTAGTGGAAGGTGTCCCTGCCTGCAGAAGGGGGTGGAACTAGAAGATCTTTAAGATCCCTTCCAACCCAAACCATTCCATGATTCTATGATTCCTCTCCATGCCTTTGATCAGGTCCCTCCAACTCTCAGCCTTCGTCCAGGGTATGTCTTGGGAATCCCCACAGGAGAGGGGCACTGGGCAGCTGAGGGTTGCAGCCCCCCTGTTCACTCACCATGCTTGATGCAAACACAGCTCTTCCCTCACAAAACTGCACAAATATTCCCTTGCAGGAATGTGGGTGGTCAGAGCCTGCCATACAACAGGGAGGAAGAGAAGTCAGAGGAACTGCTAGAAAAAACACCAAGTATCTTCAAAAAATATTTTCCCAATCCACACGCCAAACCCTAAGTCTCAACAAGCTCCATTCTTGCATGCACAAAGATCAGGATCTGCAAATAAAAAATTGTTTCTGCAAGACAAACCCCAAAACCTCAAATTTGCTTAAGAAACAAAATCAAAGTGTTTTATTTCCCCATGCAGCAGCAGCAGCCCTGGGAGCACTGCCTGAGGGCAGGGCAGGGCAACAAGGATGGAGGTGCCACTGCTCACCCTGCAGGCAGGGATGGGAGAGGGGACACTGCTCCCCATCTTCCCCAGATCCTCTGCTCGTTCTTGTCCTGTTTCCTGCAGCTCCCTCAGGAGCACAGACCCAAGCACAGACCAGCCCCAGGATCTCCAGCAATGCCCAGCCATGCTCAGCACAATGGATGCCATGAAGGCAAGCATTTGGCGTCTCCACAAAGCCAGAAACTTTGGGAAACACCAGCACCCACTTCAGCCATGTGTGTTTGTGGCCTCCCACTCCCAGCCCCAGCGAGGACAGGCAGTGACCACTCCCAGGCCCTGGCAGGGGTGAAGCCCTTGTGAAACCACCGATGGAAGAAACGGAACCGGCTCCTTCCGAGCCTGCGCCGCTGCTGCCTCGTCAGCCAAAGCACCCAGAACAGCACATCTGAGCTCCTTCCTGTCTGCACCAGCCCAGCTGGAGCCCTGCTCCTCCTCTGCTGCCACTTGCATCTGCAAACGCTGGGCCACCAAGGCCTGTGCCCATGCCCTGAGTGCCACCCAGCCACGCTGGCTCACAGCCAGCTGTGAGCACAGCTGCCCGAGGGGGGGTGGCTGTTATCCCACCCCCTTTGCAGCTCAGCCACTGCTGGCAACAGCTGCCCACACCACAGGGTCCCTCCCAGCACCGAGCAGGAACAGGAGTGCAGGAAAAGCTTCCCCTGCCCCAGCACAGCAGCCTGTGGCTCCAGAACCAACATGCCCGTGGCCGTTCCTCCGTGGAGAAGCACCTGCATGCTTCAGCCCCTGCAGAGCCCTCAGTCTCACTCAGGGGTCACTGCCTGGGAGTGCACAGTGGGAAGCAGCTGCTTGCTTCATTTCCGAATGCTGTGTGTTGAGCAACCCCCGCTGCTGCTCTTGTTTGATGTCCCTGGGAGGGGACAAGGGGCTCCTGTGGCAGGGCCACCCTCCTGCCTGCAACCCACACCGTGAGGCACCACAGCACGGACTGGGGACCAAAAGGGGGCAAAAAAGGCATCATTCACCTTGAGAGGGAAAATCTTTGAGAGAATTCCTGCAGGAATTCTGGAGGCAGACAGGGCTTGGAAAACAGAGTGAACCAAAGCAGGCAGCCAACACCAGGGGAAGCTTCTCCTGGGCTCTGTGTGCCCGCTGCCTGTGGAATCTGGAGGGAAACGTGCTCAGCTGAGGCATGAGGCTGAGGCTCCTCAAGGCATCACAAATTCATCACAAGGCACATCTGCACAGTGCCAAATAAAACCACCTGCTGGGGGTTTGTTTTCTCTCTCCAAAAATCTTCTTGACAGTCCCCGCATTTTAACAGCGCTCCTGCCATCCCACACATCCCCAAAGGCTCAGCGTACCCGGAATGCAAACTGTCTTTGGAAAAATCTCCTTAAAATAGCAGCAGAAATTACTAATACCGTTTGTAAAACCTACAGGCAGAGGATGGCCATGGCATGAGCCTGACCATGCTGGTGAGCCCACCAGCCTCCTGCAGAGACCCCAGGCCTCAGCCTGCCACATCCCCCCACAGTGAAGCCCCAATGCCAGCTGCTGTGGGCGATGCTGGGGAGGACTCACACAGTGCCCAATTCAGCTGCTGTTCCCTAAATTCCAGGCTGCCTCCCTCGTGTGACTCCACACAGACCCTGGGCTCCCTTCAGGCTCTGCAGCACAGCTGCTCCTGTGGTGCCACATGCAGCAGCCTCGGGGCACCAGCTGCCACCGGCATGTGATGGCAAACCCCGCTTGCAGGCGCTCGTGTTGGCACTTGACAGCTCCTCACGAGCAGCCTACAGCATCCCCACAAAACACAGGGCAAATCTGGAAACCTGTTGGCACCCATCATTGGGATCTCCCCACTCACCGTTGCTCGGTGCCTGAGCAGGAGGGAGCAGCACGGCTGTGCTGAGGGGGGACTCCCCTCCCGAACCGAGTCCAAGCAGCCAGTGGGGCCTGGCACAGGAAGGTGTCTGAAGGGGTTTCAAGCTGTGAGATGACTTTTGGACAGAGCCCGAGCACGCAAACAAACACAGAGAGGGACAGAGCAAAGGCCTCTGTGATGCAAACCATGCAAACCATCCCCTGCCTGCCCCGGAGGGCAGCCCAGCTCATGCTTGCTGGCTCCACTGCCAGCAACTCCAGCCACGAGTCCCAAGGAACCTGAGCTGGACAAAGCGTGGGTGTTGCATCCCTGCCACACAGGGCACAGTAACAGATGGGCACTGCCAGGAGAGTGCCAGTGCTTTGTGTGGGCTGCAAGGTGCCAACACAGCTGCTCAGGAGCCCGTCTGCCCCCCTGCCAAGGGACCCACATCCCACAGCCACCCCGACCTAGGTGCTGCCAATACCTCTCAAGCCTCAGCAGAGGCTGATGCTGCCCGAGACCCACAGGTGCAGCCTCTCACTGGGCACCGACCCTGCCCAGGCCACCAGGCTCATCCTGGTATAGAAGGGCAGTCCCAACCTTGGCTGAGCTCTGGACACCTGGACAGATGGACAGCCCCAGCCCATGGGTGGCTCTGTGTATGGCAGTGCTCAGGTTATGGGGGCACAGCTTGATGCTGGGCTGCCAGAGGGGAGCCACGGGAGGGGGGAGAGGGCACCGTGAGCCAAAGAGCAGAATGGGAGGACAAAGGTAGGAGGAGGACCCTGCGCTGAGCACCCTGTCCCACCTGCCGTGCCCATCCTGCACTGTGTTCTGTGCACTGAGCACCCTGTGGGCACCTCAGCACACCCTGCACCCAGCACCACGCTCTGAACTGAGCACTGAGCATCCTGCACTGACCACCCCGCACCGAGCATCCTGTCCTGGGCATCCAGCACTGCTCTGAGCACCCAGCACCGAACACCGAGCACCGCTCTGCGTCCCCGGCACTGCACACCCAGCACCGCACACCCAGCACCGCACACCCAGCACTGCACACCCAGCACCGCACACCCAGCACCGCTCCGTGTCCCCAGCACCGCACACCCAGCACCGCTCCGTGTCCCCCAGCACCGCACACCCCGCACCGCTCCGATCACGCATCACCGCCCGGTGTCCCCAGCACCGCGCACCGCGCACGCCCCGCACTGCGCACCGAGCATCCCCCGCCGCTCCGCGCCCCGTTCGCTTCGTCCGCGCCACCCACCGAGCCCCGAGCCGCTACCAGGCAGCGCCCGCCGGTACCGGGCACCGCCCGCCCGCTGTCACCTGCCAGCCGGCGGGGCTGGGGGCACAAACGGCGGGGGCACACGCGGTTCCCGGGCCGGGTCGCTCCCCCCGATGCTCCCGGTGCCCCCCCCCCCCGCACTCACCGGGGCCGCCGCCGGCCCGGAGCGGCGCGAGACGCGGCGACGTCACGCGCACGCGGGGCCGGGATCCCCGCCCGCCGCTCCGCGCGTGCGCCGCGCGCGCCTGGCACCGGGCGGCACCGGGCGGCACCGGGCGGCACCGAGCCCCAAGCCCCGTCCCTGCCCGTCCCCCTGCCGGTACCGGCCGTGGCTCCGCAGCCCTCCCCGCCAGTCGCCGGGAGCGCTCCGCACCGCTCTGCCCGCGGCCTCACCGTTATCCCCGGTGCCCGCCCCTGTCCCGGTGCTGCCTGTATGCAGCGCCCTGCCGTCACTGGTATCGCTGTAATTAATTACCGCCGTCGCTAATTAGCGGCGTGGGAGCGCAGGGAAATGCCACCCGAGGTGCCCCACCGGGAGGCAACGGGATGGGAAGGGGGAATGAGGCCGCAAAGAAGTGCCCGGTGGGGAGGGACAGCATCCGAGAGGGGGAAAAATAAAACTCCTTGAAAGTGAATCGGTCTTTGATTAACTGCAATTTCGGCTGTTAATTAGTGCCCAGATGGATCCTGCGGGCAGGGACCCAGGACCCTTCGCAGCCCCCCGATCCTGCAGGTGCGGACGGAGGCAGGAGCCTGTCCTGATTCCATGGACAGAGCCGGGAGCTCGCTCTGATTCCGTGGACAGAGCCGGGAACCCGTCCTAATTCCGTGGACAGAGGCAGGAACCTGCCCTGATTCCGCGGCTCCCGGGGCACCCCGAGTCCCCCAAGTGAGAGGGTCCCCACGGGGGCTGGTGGGGTCAGGCTGCAGAGCCTTTGCCACCCCCTTTCCCCACACCGAGGGTCTCCTGTGTCCCAGCCCCAGCGCGGGGAGTTCCTGCATGACACCAATTCCCTGGCAAACCCCCCCTCCACCGTGTCCCACCCGGCTCCAGCGCAAGGCTGGCACATCCCGAGCGAGCGGTTCATGCAACACCGACCCCCGAGCAGTTCTAATCTTCTGGTTTTTTTTTAATTTGCCTCACAAGGTAGAGTACATCCAGGGAATGTGCAATGTACAAGGAAAGTGCTGGGCAGGCGAGCGCGAGGGGAGGCGGGGGTGCCCCACGGGGCCCGGGACTCGTAGCTAGCAGGCAGCACGCTCAGTCGGAGGGCGCGTCGGGGGTGACAAAGGTGCCCTTCTGGTCCCACTGCATGTCCCGGATGCGGCGGATGGACTGGATCTGGGGCTGGAAGGCAGACCACTCATTCCAGTGTCGGAAGTCTCCGGTCTCAAAGAGGTACTGGTAACCTCTGTAGCCAGGGTACTGGTACCCGACCCAGCTGTGGGGAAAGAAAACACAGGGCACCTGAGCGGGGTCGGCCACTCCAGGCAGCAGCCACATGGCTGGTGGGTGCTCAGGGGGCTGGCGTGGCCTCCCTGTGCTGGCCACCAACCTTTGGGGGACAGGCCACACCGCTAGAAACAGCCACACCACCCAAAACAGCCATGCCACCAAACAGCCATGCCACCAAAACCAGCCATGTCACCACTTTCTGGCTGCCTGAGAGCCCACAGCAGCTGGTTAGGGAGGACAGGGAGCCTGGCACGAGGCAGCTGCCACTGCAGCCCAGCTTACGTTCCACTGGGCACCTGCACGCTGCCCACGCGGTCGCAGAAGCCATAAGCCCAGAGGCTGGGCACGTCGTCCTCCTGGATTTCCATCTTGTTGCCCTTGAAGTCAGCAGACTCGTAGAGGGAGATTTTGTGGTCCTCAGCCTCCTGGGGAAGACAGAGGGAGGGTGCTGGGCAGTGTGGCCGAAGCCCTGGAGCTTTGCTGCAGTGAGGCATTGAGCACACAGCCCTGGGCAGACCCCACCAGGCCCTCTGCTCCCCAGCACTCACCATTTTGATGGGACGCATGGACATGAAGCAGTCGCTCCGGTAGCTGCTGGACCAGGTGTCCCAGCGAGGGTACTCGCCCTTCTCCAGGATGAACATCTCCCCACGCATGTTGGCCTGCTCGTAGGCCACCCAGCTGGGGAGAGAGGTGGGCAAAGAGCCAGTCAGGTGCCACCCAGCAGGTCCCCTCCTGCTCAGCCAGCTTGCAGGACAGTGGAAGGGTTTCCAAAAAGGCTGAGGCCCCACCACTCTGCTCCCACCTTTCTCCCAGCCCAGGCACTGTGGCCTGTGCAGAGGCAGCGCTGATCCATGGGCTCCCAGCTGGAAGCTCACTGGTGTGCGAGTGTCCAAACCTGCAGCAGGCACCAGCACTCACAGTGCTCCTCTTCCTCAGCTGGGGAGCAGCAGGACCCCTGCACAGCTGGTGACTCCACAGAGTCAGCTCAGGACTCTGTTGTCCCTCCTGCCTGGGCTGTGTAATCCTGGCACGCCCGCACGCCTCACTGCTCCAGCGCCAGCCAGCACTGGCACCCATCCCACTGCTGAGAGTGGGGCTCACTCAGCTGCAATGTCACCTCCTCAGCAGAGCCACGAGGTGCTGGGAATGCCGTGGGTGTGGGGCTCCAGAAGCCCCCAGCACCACAATGGTCCTGCATTTGCTGCTTCCCCTTTCCCTGCAGAACAGCTCTTCCTGCAGATGCCAGCAGGGGTTTTCCTGCTAGCAGGAGATGTGTTCAGGTACCCCAGGCTGCACAGCCTCAAGCTGCCTGCTAAAGCTCAGCTTGGTTGTTTTGCTTTTGTCTTTCCCTGAGCATATTTTTGGGTGCAGAGTTGCATTGGTGACTCTCAAGAAGCTTCTAAGGACCCCAATGACACTCAAGTTCTCTCCTCCCAATTTCACCCTTTCTGTGTCTAGTGCAGCTTCCCAGGTATCATATCTGAGCTCCTTCCAGACTGCTCCATCCCCCATTTGTTTCAAGAAGAGTTGGATATTCTGGGTTCCTAATAAAAAAGTCATAGGTGCTGCATGGTGTCACTCCAGGTCACCCTCCAGGTCCCTCATGGATGCTGTCAGGACAAGCCATGTCCTGTGCATCCTCCCCACAGCTCTACCAGCCCCCCTGCATTCCTGGGCATGCTGTTTCCAGCCAGGCACGGCACGGTGGGATGCTCTTTCAACATGGAGATCATCTGTCTGCTCAGTTATCTGCTTTGGGGATCGTTTTTGTCCCTGCCTGTGTCAACTGTTCCCACGGCTTTGCAACCTGCCCAGCCCCCTTGTTGCTGCTCAGTTGCCTGGGTGCAGGCGGGTGCTTGTCCCTGCCCATCCCTGCCTGCTCCATCCTGGCCCAAGGATCCCACCTCATTTCACCTTGACTTCTCTAAAACCTGCAGGTCCCTTGTGTTCCATGGACAGCTCCAGGTGGCTGAAATGATGGACACGTTTCCTCAGCCCTTGGCTTTGCCTCTGGTGCCCTTTGCTTTGCATGTGACCCTGGCATCCTTCCCACCCATCCTGACCCTCCTGTCCTCCTCGAAGGAGACCAGGGATGCCCGCTCTGCTCCTGTGCTGGCCCTGCTGCGCTCTGCCCAGGCAGCAGGGAAATCCTGAACATCACATTGTGCCCAGGGCTGTGTCCCCACCCACCAGGAACATCCCCAAGGTCACAGCCCCCTCCGTGGCTGGGGTCACTTACGGTCCAGAGGTGACAATGACACTGCGCACCCGGTCGAAGCCACGGTCAGCCAGGTTCAGGCACTCGGCGGTGAACTCCATCTGCCTGCCCTGGAAGTTCTCCTGGTCGAAGACAACAATCTGGGGATGCAAGGAAAGGGTTGGGTGAGGACAGGCCTGCTCAGGGAGGGCAGGCTGGTGCTGGGTGACCAGTGCCTGAGCCTTCTGCTCCGTGTGTCCCCCTCGGCTCTCCAAGCCTTCCTGCAGCTTCTTGCATCTGGTGCCCGCCCGTGCTGAGCTGGGCTCCGTGCAAGGGCATGTCCCAACAGCTGTTCCTGCTCCAAGATGGCCTCATCCTGCCCTTGCTGCTGCTGGTGCCCACATTGGTGGGAAGGAGCTGCTTCTCCAGGTGCTCTGTCTGCACCTTGGCCTCCTCAGCCTGGCACGGTGTCACCGGAACCTTTGCATTACTCACCCTCCCATGCCAGCCCTGCTGCAGTGCCTCAGTGGCATGCTGGCATCACTGTGGCATTTCAGTGCTGGCCTTGTCACCCCTAGTGTCCCCTCCACCTCCCCGTAGGACCCCTGCATGCAGGGTGTGACCAGAGGGAACAGGTGACAGCAGCCAGCCCTGACACCACAACCCAGGGGAGAGCATTTCCCAAGCCTGTGGTCCCCAATAAGCTGTCCTGGCCAAGGCACCTTCAGACCATTCCTCCTGCAGCAGCTGCCCAAACCCCGAGCCTGCTGTCAGAAGAACAGAGCAGGGATGGCATCGCCCACACTTCCACAGTCCTTCCCCCTGGAACAATCTCCTCCTGCCCTTGATCCTCAGCCCGGAGCATGTCCCTGCACACATGGGGAGCCACAGGGCTTACCCTGAAGGCTTCTGGGGAGGGCTCCTCGCCCTTGCTGTTTGCGACAGGAGCAGGGTCGAGGGATGGGGTTGGAGCAGGAGCTGCCTTCTCCTTGTCATCCGCAGCCTGGCCGGGAGCAGCGGGTTTTGTGGTCTCAGACATCGCGGTGGTGGGCTCAAGTCTGTGACAGGGCACCAGCAGCAGGTTAGAGGGAGGAATGGATGTGGGCACCCACTACCCGCCCCAGGAAGGGTAACATCTGCATGGGGTGGGTGGGCAGGGCCAGGAGAGGAGCTGCTGGAAGGGTCTCCAGCAGGCACAGGAAAGGATCCTGCCTTCACCAAGGGGATCACAGGAGGTCTTGGAGTCCACACTCTCCTCCTGTGGTCAGGAGAGCCCTGAGCATGGTCCTGGAGTGCCCAGGGATGGGGCCTGATGCTGTGCCAGGCACTGGGGCCATCCCGCACGGGGTGCACTGGGAGCCCGGGGGGCTCCGGGGCAGCGTGTGAGGGGTGGGAAGGGGACAGCCCTGTTCTGCTGCGGCCCCGCAGGTCAGTGTCAGCAGCAGCTCCCCGGGGAGTGGAGGGCGGTGGGATGCTGAGCACAGAGGTGCTCCCAGACGTGACCACCACAGCGGTGGCCACGGCTTAGACCCTGAGTTTCCCTCTCCCCACCTCGGGTCCTCTGCAGCCCGGTGTCCGGGGACTTTGTCCTCTTACCTGGGCAGCTGCTGCTTCTTGTTGGAGTGAGCGGGCTTGTGTTTCGGGGCGCCGCGAGGCCCCCACTTTATAGCCTGGCAAGGGCAGACCCCCGGGCGGGCTCACAAAGGAACTGCCAGCTCATCAGTGTCTGCGCGGCCGCCCAGTCATCACATCCTGCAAAGCGCTGGGCGAGCTGGAAGCCTCTCCCCGGCCCCGTGCCCAGCCGCTGAACCCAGCACTTTCCTTTGTGCCCCCGGCACAACAGAAGACCTGACCGTGCCACTTTGCAGCGCGCCCGGCACCCGCTGCCCCGCGTGCGGCCGCCCCGGCAGGGCATATATAGCCCTGGCACGGCCCGGCCGGCGCCGGCACCGGCTCAGGAACACCTCCCCCGGCCAGCGCCCCGGCCCCGGGCCCGCGGGGACACCCCGCTGCCAGCCCCGCCGTGCCCGGTGCCCCCTCCAAACACTGAACCTCTCAGGTGCTTTGAGCATCGCCCCGTGCCCGCAGCGCTGCTCTGGAGATGCCAGAAAGAGAGACCTGAAATGTTCTGAAATGCTTCAGGAGTCAGGGTTTTTCCAAAGGATGTGTAATGGAAGCTGACACTTTCTGAACAACCTGAGTGCCTGAAAACAGTGTTTGTTCTCCCCTGGGAGTGTCCCTGCTCGCTGGCAGGGTTCTTCCTTTGCTTTTTAGCCTATTTTCTTCATGCTGTGGTCACCTTGTAGGACCCCTGGTTCTGCCACCATCACATTCATGGTTTTGGGGCATCAGCTCTGTCCGACTGGTGCAGGAGGGTTGTGGGGTGGCTGATTGGGGACACACTGGCACCAGTCCCTGCAGCAGCTCTGGTGCCACATCTCCCCCACCCCATGGCACCTCGGGGGGACCTTCCCCTGAGCCCCTCTGAGCCTCTGATCAGCTTTTCTGCACCTCCACACCCCTGTCCAGCACCCTCAGCTTCCTGCAGCATCCAGCACCAGCAGTGTCTCACCCGGGGGTGTGTGGGCACAGGGCTCAGAGCCCCGTGTGCTGCCCTCCTCTTTTGTTCCTCTCATGTGTCACCCAGCAGTGGTGGGATCCAGCTGCACCCTCTGGGCCATTGCACAAAATCCCCAACAAAAAGAATGTATTGATCCCTTCTTTTCCCGAGGTTTTTCAGGAGGTGTGCTGTGCCCGTGACACGGCTGGGTGTGGGGTCTGCTGCCCCATCGCCCTGGGCACTGGCCCAGTCTGGTTGTCACCTTGATACTGAGCAGTGTTTTATGATTCATGATTTCAATTTGTGCTCCTTTCCATGGTTTTTATCCAGATTTCTAATTTAACCTGCCCTCTCTTCCTCCCAGAGCCAGCATGGGTGCTCTCCCCGTGCTGCCTCCCCTGTGCCTCCTGGGCATTAATCACCAGGTCTCACCCACCCTCTGCTCCTGACTCTGCTTCCCCTCCCATCACCTTTGAACCTGGATATTGGAAAACCAACTCAGAGAGGCTGAGCCCTGCTCCTGATGGTCTCTTTGCTCCTTACTGAGCACTCAGCATCCCTGTGGGCTTCCCTGAGCCAGGGCTGACAGCAGGGATCGATCCTTGGCCATTCCTGAGCCCCCCAGACACAAAATCTCTGCCCTGCCATGGACCCTGTGCCCTCACTGCACCATCCCTCCCGGGCACAGGGATGCACAGCTCCAGCACAGCCCTGGCAGCAGATGGGCACTGTGCGGCCATGGAGGGCACGGGCACAAGGGTTTGCTCTGCCCTGGTGAGTCCCACTGCCCGTGGATCTCGTGCTGCTGCATCCCTGCCTGGCACTGAGTGCCACTGTGGCAGCACAGGCTGCAGTGACCGTGTCACACTGCCAGGACATGGCGTGGACAGTGAGTGAGTGGTGGTCACGGTGCTGGTGGCCAGCACAAACTGGGTTTAGCTCAGGCCACAGTGAGAGGCCAGGGACAAATTGTGCCAGTGCCAAGAGGGCTTTTGCTGGGCTTGCAGGTGGCAGGGACAGCCCGTGCAGCCCTGCTGTGCCCTGGGGCAGCCCGTTGTGCTGAGCCTCCCCATGTGCCCTGCTCTGCCTCCCCCAGGCTGCCTGGGGCTCACAGGGCTGCTGCAGCTGCATGAGGGGGACTCTGGCTCAGCCTCCTGGCAGTTTTCTAGCAAATTCTGTCCCAAAACACAGCACTCCCTGTGGACAGGGTTTTCCCATTGGGCTCGAGAACCTCCATTGCCTGCTGCCTGCTCTGAGGGGCAAGGCTGGGTAGGTGCCTCTGCTGAGCCACTGTGGAACCCTGGCAGCACCCCAGGATGGTTTGTGAGGTATGTGGGTCACTGTAAGGTGTTCAGGTCTCCAAAATGTGGTGGCAGCAGAGTGTTTCCAGCACACAGAGGCAGGAGGCTGCTGCAGCTCTTCCCAAGTCATGACCTGCACCTCCAGTCCCTCCGGTGCCTTTTATACCCCCACCACCACTTTCCAAGCCCCTGGTCCCCACTTCTTATGGTGTCCATGGCTGTTGTGTGCCCAACTGCAACGAGCCATCCCGGATTTAGGGTAGAGCCACTCTGCCCTGGCAGGGAGAGCAAGTGGAGACGTGTCCTTCCTCCCACTTCCCAGAAAGGGGTGAGGAAACCTCCCCACGCCCCCAGAGCAGGCAGCACTGCCTGCGGGCAGGGGGAGCGCTGCCAGGGCTGGGACACGGCCCCAGCCCAGCCCCACGCCAGGGAGGGCACGTGGCAGGAGTGTTGGCAGGGCCTGGGGGCGATGGCCCAGCCCTGGAGCTGTGGGGTGGGGGTCAGAGGCTGTGCCCGGTGGGCCAGCTCCATGTCCCGGCTCATCAGCGTCTCTGACACGGCGCCTTTGTTCTGGCCAGTCCCTCCTCCCCGCCATGTGCTGAGTTAGGGGTTTCAGTAATGCTCCCCTGGGCTCTGTCTCTATCTGGAGGCTATAAAAACCCAGCTGGAGGCTGCTGGACATGTCACCTCCCTGGGCACCAGTGCCTCACCCCAGGTAAGCGCTGGAGCCTGGGGCAGCTGCCCCGTGCCCGTGGAGGGGCCTGGGAGCGAGCAGCTGTGGGAACAGGTGGAGGAGCATCCAAGATCTGGGGTCAGACCTCTCCTCAGCACTGGGAGCTGTGGTGGGGGTTGGGGGACTGGGGGCTGTCCCTGGCTGTGGCAGTGGCAGGTGTTGATGCTCAGTGTGGGCACACAGCTGACTCTGCAGTGCTCCCAGCTCAGCACTGCCCTGCCAGCACCAGGGCTTTGGCTCAGGGAGCTGCCAGTGGGAGGAGGAGTTTCCCTGGGCACGGGCAGGGATGTCTGCCAGGGCCAGGTGCCCACTGGGCCAGGTTCCCACTGCTCCACATGGCCCTGGTGGCAGCTCCAGCTGGGCAGGGAGAGCCGCAGAGCTCTTCAGCTGCTCCAGCATGGAGCAACTCCCTTGTTGTCCCCCACACTGCTGTGAAAGGGGGACAACAAGGGCTCCCGAGTTCATTTCCATCTGGGCACAGAGGCAGCTTGAACTGTGCCCTTCCCCTGTGCTCTGGCAGAGCCACCATGAGCCACCGCTGCAAGAAATCCTCTGGTCTCTGGAAGGTACGGGAGCCCGGGCAGGACCAGCACCATGCCCTGTGAACACCCGGGAATGGGGCTGTGATACCTGCATCCCCAGAGCCTCCTGACTCCCTCCATTTCCCCCAGATGGTGGTGTGGGATGAGCCTTTCTTCCAGGGCAAGAGGCACGAGTTCACCACCGACTGCTACAGCACCCCGGAGCACGGCTTCAGCACCGTGCGCTCCTGCAAGATCGAGAGCGGGGCGTGAGTGGGGGTCCCGGGGCACTGCCACCCCACGGATAGCAGGGGGGTTGGAGCGTGGAGGCCTCCACAGCGCCTTTTGCTACCCGAGCTGCCTCCTGCGGGCACCGCTGGGCGCAGCGAGCACAGCCCGGCTGTGAGTGGGGCGGTGGGCACGCCGGGGGTCTCACCCCTCCCGCCCCGGCAGGTGGGCAGGCTTCGAGCACTGCGGCTTCCAGGGGCAGCAGTTCGTGCTGGAGCGCGGCGAGTACCCGTGCTGGGAGGCGTGGAGCGGCAGCAACGCCTACCACGTGGAGAGGATGTGCTCCTTCCGCCCCATCGCCTGCGCCGTGAGTGCCCCCGCCCCGGCTCCCCCCGCGGGGCGGCCCCCGGAGCCGACCCCTGGCCAGGGTGGCAGTGCCAAAGCTGTGCCCGTCTCGGCCGCAGGACCACGGACGGAGCAGGTTGATGCTCTTTGAGGAGGAGAACTTCCAGGGCAAGCGGGCAGAGATGAGCGACGACTGCCCCTCGCTGCCCGCCCTGGGCTGGGGCAGCAGCACCGTGGGCTCCTTCCTTGTCCGCTCCGGAGCGTGAGTACCGGGGGTTTGCAGCCTGCCGGGACCGCCGGGGCGCGCAGAGGGGCTGAGGATGCTCTGGAAGCAGGGCTGAGGATGCTGTGGCAGCTGCAGAGCCGAGGATGCTCTGGAAGCAGGGCCGAGGATGCTGTGGCAGCTGCAGGGCCGAGGATGCTCTGGCTGGGGGGCTGAGGATGCTGTGGCAGCGGGGCCGAGGATTCTCTGGAAGCAGGGCCAAGGATGCTGTGGCAGTTGCAGGGCCAAGGATGCTCTGGCGGCTGCGGGGGCTCCGCGGTGCCGGCAGCCCCGGGTCACGGCCGCTCTCTGCTCTGTCACAGGTGGGTCTGCTCGCAGTACCCGGGCTACCGGGGCTTCCAGTACCTCCTGGAGAGCGACAGCCCCGCGGGCGAGTACAAGCACGTGCGGGAGTGGGGGTCCCACGCGCAGACGGGCCAGGTCCAGTCCATCCGCAGGGTCCAGCAGTGACCACGGTGCCGGAGCCCCCCCGCCCCGGGCCCCGTCTGTCCCCTGAGCGGGGACAAAGCTCAATAAAGGCTCACTTGTCCGAGGTGGCGCTGGCAATTGGGGATGAGGGCCATGGGGGTGCCTGGCCGGGAGTGATGCCACTCCCAGGGGCAGAGCGAGGCTCTGCAGGGGCAGGGATGAGGTGGAGGGGAATTTTTCTGCCCAGGTGCTCTGTAGGACCCCCACATCCCACGGCCCCACAGACACCATCTGCTCTTCCAGCACCTGCCAGGGGCTGAAAGGAGCTGCAGGATCAAGCAAGTGCGCACCTATCCCTGCCTCCATGCAGAACCTGTACCCATCCCAGCACTCTCACCCACCTGTACACACCCCTGCATCCATCCCAGCACCCATCCCTCACTCCTGCACACCCAGTGTGCAGCCAAAGCTGGAAATACAGCCGGAAAAGGCTGCTCTGGAAAAAAAAACAAAACTCATTTCAGAAGAGCTCTGGAGGAAACGTTTGATGTGGTGAAAATGTCCCATGCATGACATTTGCAGCAGCAAGGCCACCAGAGGAGGGAATGCTGCCCAGCAAGAGATTCTCTCCGCAGGAAATCACAATTAAAAAGGCTAAATAGAAGAAGAAACAAAAAGTTGTGGGATGGGCTGGATGAAACCCTCCTGCACCCCAGGGCAAGCCCGGCCAGGGAGACCCGAGGAGCGGAGCTTCCTGTCACCCCCCGTCCCGGGTACCGCCCTGTCCCTGCTCAGCTCCAGAGCCCTGGGGGGACGCGGGGTCCGGGAGCGGGGCAAGCACATGGCCAGGCACGGTGGGCAGCTGGCGGCGAGACCAGGGGTCCCTGGGGAGCCGGCGGGGACTTGGAGAACAATGCGGGAGCCCAGCAGCTGCAGAGCGCTGCGGAGGGGCTGTCACAAGCCCCGGGCGGGAGGGGAGCTGTCCCCGGCATGGGGGGGCTGTCCCTGGACAGGGCTGTGTCCCCAAGCCGGGCTGCTCTGTCTGTCCCCACCTCATCCTCCCACCGTGTCCCCAGGGGTGGGTTCCACACCCCCTGTCCCCCTTGTCCCGCGTCCCCCGGGTCACACCCATGGCTGTGGTGAGCCCGTCACGGCAAACGATGCCTGGCAGGGGGTGACAGTGGCATTTGCAGCGGCTGTCGTGGCAAAACGGTCCCCAGGGTCTCCTGCAGCGGGAGCGATGCGGGAGCGGTGCGGGGAAAAGGTGACTCGGCCGCATTTCCAGCATTAAAATTTAATGCGAGTTGCAGCATCCTCCTGCGCCGTAGGTAGGGCCGGGGGGGCCGGGGGCTGCTGGAGGAGGAGTTTGCTTGGCCGCCTCTTCCTCAGGGATGCTCTGGGAAAGCTCCAGCACAAAGGAGAGCGCGGCGGGCAGGAGCCAGCGGAACCGGCGCCCCCCGGCCCCAGCGCGGCCCCCCGGAGCAGGTAACGCACCGCGGACACGGCTCCGCTCCCTGCGGGCGGGGATGGGCTCTGGGGGCGCGGGGAGCCCCGGGGGCCGCCCCCATCTCCGGGCGGGAGCAGGGGCGATGTCACCCCCGGGATTCGGGTGGTCCTGCGGGCGTCGCTCCGGGAGGTGCGGGGCCGGCGGATGCGGCTGATCCGCCCTCTCCATGCCCCAAAAATACCCCCATTCTCAATAGATTATTCCCTGGTTATAAATAACCCCAGGAGAGGCCCCCCCACCCCGGCACGACTCTCTCCTGCCCCGGGGGGGACAGCCCGGGTCCCCTCCCTTTGTTAGGGCAGGAGCAGCCGCACATCCCGCAGCGCATTCCCGGCCACATCCCGGCCCGGTGATCCCGGTGGTCCCGGTGGTCCCGGTCCTGAGGCAGCGCTGGGCAGCCTGGCCCCCCCATCGGACACCGACTACAGCCCCCCCTCCCCCAAATCAGAACTAACTGCTGCACTGCTTGCTTATATATATATATATATATATATATATATATATTTTTTTTTTTTTTTTTTTTTTCAGAATCCTCATCAAGAATAGGGCTCCTGCCAGGTAAATGGATTCTTGCCTGATTTTCAATGCTCCTGGGAAGATTTGTAGCCAAAATGCTGTTTTAGTGCTTTGTCTCGAAGTCCCCATTTTCTCCTAAGGCTGACGATCCTAGGCGGGGGTTAGAGGCGAGGCTGGGCCAGCAGCCCCAGGGCACAGCCCAGCCCTTCCCTCCCCTCCGCGTTAACCTGGCAGACGCTTTTCTTGCGGAGCCATTTTCTCTCCCTCATTGTCTCGCAGCCTTTTGTGTGTGCGGGTAGGTCCTGCCCTGGGAGCCAGGAGCAGCCCAGAAATAATCAGATTTTCAGGCGTTGCGGTCTTGCAAGGAGCCTTTCACACCCTCACACCCCTTTTGTGCCGGGCTGCCCAGCCCCAGGGCTGCGGACAAAGGCAGCAGTGCCCGGCACCCCTGCAGCAGCACCGGAGCCTGGGCTGTGCCAGAGCCGGGGCTGTGCTGGATGGCAGCGAGGGTCGGGCAGAGCTGGCAGGGCACAGGGCCGGGGTGTCTGCCCACCCTGTGGCATCTGGGGCTCAGGATGCCCGGATGCCACATCCCAGAGATCCTCTCTCTGGGATCTCTCGCCTGTTGTGCCTTCATCTCCCTCCTCCTGCCCCCAGTGGAGCTTGTGCTCCTCTTCCTCCCTCTCTCCTCACTCGAGGAGGGGGTTAGCCCCATTTAATTCGGGTGCCCAGCCCCCAGGGCCACTGTATGTGCCACCCACACGTGTGGCAGAGGCAGCTCAAGCTCACGCCCAAGATGAGGGTTTAGCAGAGTCCTGTCTGCACAAAATTGCTTTTCCCTCCCTGTCCCCAGGGATGTGCTTCATTCCCAGGCCGCAGAGGCCATCCTGCCCCAGCACAGGCACCTCCCGCTCGGATCCAGCAGGGAATCCGTGTGCCAGATGCTCAGTGCCGTCTCCCCAGCTCATTCCCACTGCTCCCACCGCAGCTGGGACGTGCTGTCCCCACGGCAGGGACTGTCCTGCCGGCAGAGCTGCGGCGTGTGGTGACAACGAGCCGCGGGAAGCAGCTGAACTGCAGAGTCACCACAGCCCCGCTCCCCCGGGACCTGCTGCTGTCCTGGTCTGCCCAAGCGGGCAGGGCAGGGCAGGGCAGGGCAGGGCACAGACATGGCCTGGCTGCTGGCACCGGCCACGTGTCCCCAGGTCCCCGAGGAGATGGAGCAGCGCTCACCACAGCATGGCTGTGACCACCAGTTGCCCCAGTTTAAGCAGTGCCTGTGAACAGCAGGGTCCCAGTGGCTCAGCTTTACCCCACAGCAGGGACAGAGGGGGCAGGGGCAGTGCCAATCAGTCCCTGCCTCCAGTGGGATTGGGACAGATTGGGGCATTGCCACCATTTCTGGTGTGGTGGTTCCCATGCCCCTCCTGTGCCTGGTGCAGCTCCTTCACTCTGCAAGGGGACAGGGACAGGAAGGTCTGTGCCCAACCCTCCTGCCAGGCCCCTGGCTGGGCTGTGCCCGAGGATGGTGCCCTGTTTCTCTCCCTTTGCTGCGTTGGTTGTTTCTTTTGCAGCTGCTAATGACTGACCTGAGGTCTGTTCACACAGTCCCCTCGCTGCCCCACAGAGCCATGTGGAACAGGGGACATTGCACAGCACTCCTCTAGTGATGACCACAGGTAGGACTCTGGGGAGGGGACACAGGTAGTGCCAGCCCCATGCTCTTCCACCCCTTCATTAGAAGGGAGGTGCTGGGAAATTGGGATCATCCTTCCTCCTCAAGGCCCCATCTCCTGGAGGGTTCTTTCCGGGCCCCATCAGGGTGCACGGGTTCACACCATCCCCAGGGTCCCCTGCATGAGAGGATGTGTCCCCCAGGTGTGCCCAGCAGTGGGGAGGGGGTGGCTGCCACAGCCCAAGGTCTCACAGCATCTCTGCTCCTCAGTGCCACCACCCCAGGGGCACGGCCCAGCTCCTGCCTGGCCAGACTGACCATGTCCAGAGGGGACCCAGGCTCAGGAGCTGCCATCACCACCAGGACACGATGCCAGAGCCAGGCTGGCCCCAGCAGAGCACCCTGGTACCCTCTGCCATGGCGTGGAGCCACCAGCCCGGCCACTGCAGGGGACACGGCCCAGGAGATGCGGTGGTGACGTCCGAGGACACGGGGCTGAGCATGCACACGGTTCTCCTGCAAGGTGCTGGGGTGTCCTTGCCTCCCACTGCTGCCCCCAGGCCTGTCCCCTGCTCTGAGCACGCAGTAGGAGGAGGGAGAAGGAAAAGGGAGTGGGGGCAGAGCTGTGCCAGCTCCTCATGGTGACACGATGGGCAGAGCCCACAGGGGCTCTGTTTGTCCCCACTGATCCTGCCCTTCCCTCTGGCTCTTGGTGAAGTCCTGGTGCTTTCTGGAGCGTCCTGGAGCTTGGGGAGGAGCATGGGCAGTGAATCCTCCTGCCATGGCCTCTGCAGTGGCCCTGTAAGGGTGGGACCCTGTCCTCACCAAGCAGCCACTCGGGCCCATGTCCCAACACAGGGACAAGGACAGGGGTACAGTGGGCTGGGGGCACACACAGCACATGGCAGGTGTCACAGCCTTGAAGGCTGAACTGGAAAAGTGTCTCTTGGGGACCAGAGGAGCTCATGCTGTGGGAGGAGGTGACCCAGAGGGACTCAGGGCAGAGGCTTTCCTGGGTGCCCTATCCCAGCCCTGTTTCCTGGGGCACAGTGCTCCTGCAGCTCTTGGAGCAGTGCTCAGCCCCATGGAGAGGCAGCTTCTGATGGGGAGGGGGTGAGCTGTGGGTCACCTTTCCTCTGCTCCATGGTGGTTTTCCCTGCTGGACCTTCTCCTCCCTGCACGTGCAGTGGGAGCTGGGGCAGTCCTGGAGCAGCTGTCACGGTCTCTGCTGGAGCCCTTACCCCAAACACTGCCAGTGATTCTTTCCCCATCTCCTCTTCTGCTTCTTGAGCTCCTTCAGAGTCCTTTGGGCACTGCTGGGGCTGTGTCCTCCATGCATCCTGTCTCCCACCTTTCCCAGCACCAGGGGTGGGCAGCCCATGTTGTGAGGGGCCTCTGGTACCTCCCTGGCAGGGATCAGAGGGGCAGATGCCTGCTGAGCATTTCATTCAGGGACAGGTTCTGCTGCACCAGCTAAACCCTCCACTAACACCTTCCCAAACGCCAGAGCCCAAAACCGCCTCCTGCTCTTGTGAGCCAGAGCCCTGCTGCTGACAGGCCTGGCTCTGCATGCTGCCAATATTAACCTACTAACCTGCTGGGACCCCTGTGCCCTCCCTGGGGCTGCCACAGCCCCTGGCACACGGACTAACCCACTAACCAGCCCAGCGCATGCCCTACTAACCCACAGCAGCCCTGCCTCGTGCCCACTAACCACGGCAGCAGCGCTGCCTTTAAAGGGGAACAGAAAAGCTGGGAAAAGGGGTTTGGAGGTGCCAGGTGTCAGTGCCAGGCTGCACAGGCAGGGACAGGCAGGGGCAGCCCTGGAGAGAGCACTGGGCAGGAGTGGGGTTGGGCAGCTCCAGTCCTGGGCAGAGAGGGGACTGCTGGTCCCTGGGTAGAGAGGGGACAGCAGCCCCTTCCCCAGCAGGAGAGGGGACAGCAGCCCCTGCCCTGGTCAGGAAAGGGGAGCAGCAGCCCCTGCCCCAGACAGGAGAGGGAACCAGCAGCCCCTGGCCCGGGCAGCCCTCGGCAGCATGAGGAGAGGGTTTCTCCCCACTCGCCCTGCCCAGCTCTGCCTGTGGAGCCTGGTGCTGACTAGGAGCCTAAAACGGTTTTATCAGCAGAAGCTTTTCAGTTCCTTTTTAAGCCAGTGGATCTCTGTTACTAACACATTCCTGAACTGAATTAAACAAACTAACCATTGCTGCTTTTCTCTTCATTTCTCTTCCAGTGTGTGTGTCCTGTAAGGCAGACCAGCGCCCTGCTTCTGTTACTAACCTGTTCTTCTGTTCCCACTGTACTAATCCTCCCTGACTCTTTCTCTCTTGCTACTAACAACTCTCTTTGCACTTTGCCTCTCGGGTGCTGTTTGCCATGACAAGTGACAGTGGCTCCTCCTGGACTTACTCACCTGCAGCACTCGATTTTCCGTGCTGCTGAGCATCCCTGGCTCCCGTTTGGTACCATGGGAAAGAAGATAGATGCTCAGCCTGGGGCGCTTTGAATATTTCCCTCTTGGCCTGTTTTTCCAACAAATTTCACGTGGCACAATGAGGAGAAGAGGCTGAGTGGCAAAAGGACAGTACAAAGCCATTAATGGCTGTAGAGGCCCAGCAAACCCAGTTTGCAGAGAGATTCAGCCACAGAGCAAAGCTGTTGCCATGAGCCTGTGCTTGGGGCTCTCCTGAGGCCCCAGGTCACCTGTCATGGGGAATGTTCTCGTGCTGCTCCCAGCATTGGCGCTCCTGGGCTCCTCTCTTCCCCCTCTGTGTCTCTCCACAGTTTCTCTTGTGCCTGGTGCATGTGGAAGCCTCTGCTGGCAGCGTGGCCCTGACTAACTCAGCTCTGTGTCACTGTCCCACTGCAGGCTCCCCTGGCCCCAGCCCAGGACAGGGCTGGGCAGTGGGTGTCACAGGTGATGGGGACACAGCCTGGCCTTTGCTTTCTGTCCAGATGAACATCCCCAGCCTCTGCAGGGACCCTGCCAGGGTGAAGGATCCAGGCCCTGGCCTGCTGCTGGGGGTTTGGCACGTGGCAAGGCACTGATGGCATTCAGGCTGCCATGACCAGGGGGACAGAGCCAAGCTGTCCCTGTGTGCCAGCAGAGGATGGTGGCCCTGTGCTGCTGGGAGGATATGCCAGACTGTGGCAGCTCTCTCAGGGGGGCAGACCCAGACAGGGCCCAGCTCTGGCTGCTCTCTCTTGGCTCTGCCCTGTGCTCGCTGCTCTCATGGCCAGGGCTTCCCCAGACCTGTGTCACTGGCTGATGTCACTGTCACCGAAGGCAGAGCCAGAGGGGTCTCCTGGGTGGCCCCATGACAGTGCCACCTCCCTTGCTATGCACTGAGCCCAACCTGCTCCTTCAGTTGGGGGGGTCTCATTCAGGCTGTTGGGGGTCCCCTCCCCACCCAGCTCTGTGTCTGTCCAGCCTCCACCTCATCCCACTGATCCCCCAATGCCACCAGGATGGGTTTTAGGGCTGGTGCTCCTGTGTTCGATGGAAGGGGGAGACAGGGGCAGAGTAGGGAGCACAGAGACAGGAATGGGACAGGAGGACGAGCCAGGTCAGGCCCAGGGTGAGCAGGTTCAGGGCTCCTGCACAGGACAGGAGCAGCACCAGCACGGGGCTGGAGTTGTCAGAGCCCATCTCTGTGAGGGACTCTCCTCCCCACCCCACCCCACAGACCCCCCCTTTCTGCTCCAGAGCAGCCCCCTGTGCACAGGGGGCCCTCCCAAGGCTGGTCACCCCGGGGAGCTGTGGGACCACGAGTCACCTCCATGGCAGAGGATGGCAGATGTCACCCTGCACAGCCTGCACAGTGGGGACGGGCCACCAGTGCCCGTGGGTGGCTGCTCCCCCCCTCAGAGCAGGGCAGGAGGGCAGAGAGGCTCCACCAAACAACCAGGTCACTCCTTTGCCCTGCTCCTGCACCTCAGGGCTCCCTGTCCCTGCTCCCCAGTCCCCGTGGCTGGCAGGAGCTGATCTGTCTGTCTGTCCATCCCTCTCTGCCGTGTGGAGAGGGGCAGGATGTGCAGCCCCCCTTCCTTCCAGCTGTGCTGGTGGACGTGTGGCCAGGGCAGCCCAGCAGTGACACGGGCAGAGCTGAGCCCTGGGGACACTGTCCTGCCCAGGCTGGGCAGGGCTGCCCCTGCTCTGCGGGCACAGCCACGCTGGCTGGGCACTGGCCAGGAGTCCCACAAGTGCCACAGCCCCGAGGATGTCCCCACAGCCCCGAGGATGTCCCCACTGCCTGTAAAGTCTACTGTGAACATGGCAAGTGTGCAACCACCTCGCTGTCTTTGTTTTCTGTCTCTGTGCAGCGTGGGGGGCTGGGGGACCCTGTGAGGCTGGGCTGGGGGTGCCCCAGCTCCCATGGGGGGCACGGGGGACCAGGGCAGGCCGTTCTCACCGCGGCCACCTCGGGGACCGGGGCCACCGGGGACCGGGCGGGACCGGAGGGGCGCTGGGTGGGCGGAGGGGAGAAGGAGGGCGGGAGAAGGAGGATGGGGACCCCCGGAACCCCCGGGAACCCCCGGGCACCCCCGGGCAGCCCGGCTGGTGGCTCTGGGGGCGCGGGGCCGTCACCCAGCGCGGGGAGCGGGGCGGGCACGGAGCCCACGGCGCCCCCGAGCCGGGGCAGCCCCGGGGGCCGGCGGGGGCAGCGCTGCGGGGGCTGCGGGGGCACTCGGCGGTGCCGGGCCGGGCTCGGAGGGGGCGGCAGGTGGAGCTCGTGCTCCAGCAAAGCCCGGCGGCCCCGCTGCCTCCCTGGAAGTGCCCGAGGCCAGGATGGATGGATGGGGCTCGGAGCGGCCAACCTGCGATAGTGGAAGGTGTCGCTGCCCACGGGCGGAAAATGGAAGGAATGAGATTTAAATGCCTTCCACCACAAACCATCCCACGGTTCTGCGGTCCCAGCCTGGCACACAGAGAGCAGGACGCGGCTCCCGCCTGCCTTGCTGCGGAGGGGGAGCCTGGACACCCCCGGCTCTGGGGAGGGCTCCCGGCTCCATCCCGTCCCGGGGAGAGGGAGGGCAGCGGCCGAGCTGCCGCGTTTATTTCCCCAGCGTTTCGTGGTGTCACAGCGAGAGCCCCCAGCCCGCGTTGACAGGAAAGATTTGTTCATTTGCGTCAAATTGCGATTCTGTGGAATGGATCCGGGGCGTTTTGGGGAGCGGCTGCGAGCGCGGGGCTCTGCCACAGAGGGGCCCTGCGGGAAGGGCTCTGCCAGAGGGATCGGGAATGCCCCGATCACCTTTCCCAAATGCCGAAATCACCTTTCCCAAATGCCTCAGTCACCTTTCCCAAATGCCCCAATCGCCTTTCCCAAATGCCCCAGTCACCTTTCCCAAATGCCCCGATCACCTTTCCCAAATGCTCCAATCACCTTTCCCAAATGCCCCAGCGCTGCTCCCCGGCCGTGCAGCTGCCGAGGGAGCCAGGGAAGCAGGCAGGGATTCAGCCCAGGCAGCAGCTCCACGTCCACAGCTCTGCCCGAGTCCCTGCACTGCACGGGATCAGAGTCTCTGTCCCCACTTCTGCAAACAGGGCATCAAAAACCCCACAGATCTTTCCCTCCCTTTCGGCCGGCAGGCAGATGCAGCAGCTCTCACACAGTCACACCCTTATCCAGGATTTTCTCAGATCCTGGAGCTTTATCCCGGGAAGCATCCTGTGTTTGCTGTCCCCGGCACCTCACAGGGACACAGCCGGGCTTTGAGCCACCTTAAGTGGGACAATTCGCAAACTGCGGGCATCCGCCCTGCCTGCAGCTCCCTGTGGGGCTGCTGAGCAGTGCCCCAGGGTGCCTGCTCACCCTGGGCAAGGAAAATCCTCCTTAACTCCACCCCTGCCCACCGTCTGCTGCCCCCTTTCCCCCAGCAGCTCTGTCCATCCCATATCTTGCAGCGAGCAGAGCCAAGAGCCACATGTGGAATACTGAGTGAGGCTGGAGCTGAAGGCAGGACATCCTGGCCCATCTTGAAGCAATTAAAGTATCACTTACAGAGCTCTGAGCCGCCTCTGGTCCTTCCCTCTTCCACCCTGCAGAACAAGGCAGGGGCTGGGGCTTGGTTGGGCACCAGGATAAAGCTTTCAGCTGTCAGAAAGAAGGTTTTTGGTTGAGTACCAGGGAAAAATTATTCCCTCTGAGGGTGGTGAAGCCCTGGCTGTGGCTGGAAGTGCCCAAGGCCGGGTTGGATGGGGTTTGGAGCAACCTGGGGTAGTGGAAGGTGTCTCTGGCAGGGATGGCACTGGATGGGCTCTAAGGTCCTTTCCAACCCAAACCATTCCATGATTCCACGTCATGCCAGGGGGTCCCAGATCCTGATTTCTCTGGGATGAACCATGTTTGGGCTCTTCCCTCCACCGGGAGCAGCTCCAGGCCCGAGCAGCCACACTCTCATTAATATGTGGGATTGTGAGGCGATCCATAATTAGATGCTAACTGAGTTTTCTCTAAGTTGGGTGAGGGAAGGTCACCAAGGTAGGACTGGAGTCAGCTTATTGTTATTATCAATCAATAACCTATTTATTTTCCAACATTCCTATTAACCTCTGCGAGCCACTCGCTGTTTCCCTATGAAAGGGCTGTGCTGCTGCTTTGCTGACTGGACAACTCTGATTGAAAATGGAGCAGTGACCCGACCCCAAAAGCAGAATCCAATTAAAATCATTTTCATTTGTAGATTAATATCTCTTAACATGTTCTACATCCCTTGCTTCAGCATTTCACACAGGAGCTGCTGCCTCGTTACACCAGTGCCCGTATCAGCGGTGCCATAGGAAAATAATTACAATTAATTAGACATGGAGACAATTAGGACTGTCCTTTTCCGGGACTGAGGGACAATGCCCAGCTGTGGTGTGCCACTGCCATGGTGGCAGTGGGACAGGGCTGCTGTGCTTGGGGCAAGGAGAGGGACAAGGAGGTCTCAGGGTCTGGCTCCTTGTGGCCCTGTCCAAGCACAGGGAAGGAGGGAGGCTGAGGGTCCCTGCTGGTCCATCCTGTGCTGATGGAAGGTGTCCCCAATCATGGGGGTTCATCACATCGTGGTGGGTCCCATCCTTGTCCCCTCCCTGGTGCTGGGCATTGCTGAGCGCAGGAATTGCCGGATCCAGCTCGGTCTCAAGGTAAAGTCTATTATTAATAACGTGACTTTGATAATAAAAAGATTAAAATTAGGTTTATGGTTTGCCGACTGCCCTTTCCACGCTGTAATCATCCCTCATCCATATTCATGAGCCTCTCATTAGTAACCACTGCTTACAAGGCGGCTAAACAGCCCAACCCTTCAGCAGCCACCATCTCCTTAACTGCTTAACTTGCTCGCTGATTACCAACATCAAATTAACTCTGCAGAACGGATCTAATAAGCTTCCCGGTGGCTTCAAACCTCCTTGAAAATTGCTCTGATGTCTCCATGGGGCCCTATTAAAAAAAATCCTTCCCCTGTGAGTATAGCAGGGAGCGCATCGGGCGGCGGCCGCGGCGCTGCCGGTGCCCAGCCCTGCCCGGTGCCCCGGGGCAGCTTCCCGGGAGCTCCCGCGGTGCCCGGCGGAGCGGCCCCGCTCCGTGTGGTGCCTTTGCACCGGGAACAGCTTTTTGAAATGATGAGCTGTTTTCCCTGATCCTTCATTAAACACTCCAAGACTTAATTTCGCTATTTGGTAGCTCGGGGGTTGTGTAACAAAAGAATAAATAAGAACGACCTTTCCATTTAATTACTTTTTTTTTTTTTAAGATGTGGGAAATGCCTCGGCTCTCTGGCAGAGGGTGTGTGGAGCTCTGGGGATGTTTAGGAGTGATGGGACCGGCCTGGTGATGCTGGCTCTGGTCTGGGCCAGGTTTGGGGACCCACAGTGCTGGGGACAGTGCAGAGGAGAAGCCACGGGCTGGGGATGACGCCTGGCACAGAGCACGGGGGCGGCTCCCTGGCAATGAACTCCGAGTGTTTCAGCAGCGGCCATGTGGAGGAACGCCAGGGAGCCTTCATCCCTCATTGCCATGGCAACCGTGCACAGGGATGGAGAGCTGAGGGGCCTGGGGGGATGCATCCCTCCCGGTGCACAGACCTCCATCGGGGGCGGCTGCTGAGACACCCCCAAAACCCCTTCTGGCTGCACCCTCTGGGATGTCGAGGGCCTCCATGGGCAGATCCAGCCCACCTGGGGCTCAGAAGCCCCTGGGTGCAGCCAGGTGGGATGGAGATCACCCTTGGGGCAGCAGGCAGGGCTGGCTGCATCCCCCTCTGTGCCAGGCGCCAGGCTGAGCCCCCAGCCCCTGTGCCATGCCCCCTCACCCCCTGCCCTGCCTGGCGCTGATGAAGAGACCTGGGTGGCTGCAAATTCCCACATCCAGCCCGTATTTCCTGCCTGCTGGAGAGAGCATCCTGCAGCGGGCACAGACAGGGAGATTTAGGAGGCAGGAGGTGGAGAATTTGTGTACAGGCTCCTGCTTGGTGCCCCCAGGGGCTGGGGGCTGGAGGAGCAGCTGCTGGCACTGTGTCCCCTGGCCCCTGAGTGAAGGACAGGGATCCTCCAGAGGGTCCTGAGCCCTGGAACCCAACCTTGGGGTGCTCACCAGAGCCAGCAGTGTCCCCCTGCATGGTTAGAGGGGTCAGGGACCAGGCTGTGTGCCCATCTCCTGCCCCAGGCTGGGCAGAGGATCCTGTGGCCCTGCTGCACAAAATCCCAGCCCTACACCATCCCATCCCTACACCATCCCAACCCTACACCATCCCTGACCCACATTATCCTGGTCCCACATCATCCCTGTCCCATATTACCCCTGTCCCACACCATCCGTGTCCACACCATCCCAGCCCTACAACGTCCCAGCCCTGCACCATCCCTGTCCCACATTATCCCTTTCCTGCACCATCCCAACCCTAGCACCATCCCTGTCCCACATTATCCTGGTCCCACACCATCCCTGTCCCACATTATCCCTTTCCTGCACCATCCCTGTCCCTGAGCTGCAGGGCACACAGGCTGGGGCAGGGGTACAAGTCCAGTTGAGCAGGTGAGGAAGGAGATCCTCATCCTCCTGCCCAGCCAGAGCAGACCTTCCCAGCTGGCTCCAGCCCAGCTCAGAGCTGGGGCACCTTGGGAAGGCAGAATTCCACACCCTGGTCCCTCAATTTCACTCCACATCCCTCTCCCACTACCCCCTCCCTGCATATTCTCCCCAGATTCAGGCTGATATTAATATTGGCTTATTTCAAGCTTTCAGCCCACTTTCTCTGAAGAAAATATTTATCCTGAGCTCCATTTTCCATTTCTTTTCAATT